CCATATGTTTTATACTTTGTTGAAATCTGCTCATCATGGAGCATCTTGGGATCAATAAAAATCATCATTATTATTATTGGTTTTTTTACATAACTGTTTTGATCAAAAATTGCTTCGATCTGATAGTTCGTCTTCAGAGAACAAATCGTTTTGGGATCAGAAAATATCTGAAATTATTCACCATGAGCAATATTTTGAACTACCTACAATATTTTTTTTTAGTTGTACCAAGTATACTTGAACCAGTTGTGGGATGGATAGATAACTTCAATGGACCAATGGCGATGACTGTTGCAGCAGCCAAAGGTAAGGAGATTAGGAAATTATGAGCTGTTCGTGCTTTTTTATAAATGTGAAGGCAGTGTTATTCATTCATGATGATAGTTACAAATCTTCGCAGTGTAGACTTTATTGCAATTCATACAAATTATCGATTTCAAATAGTAGAAATAACAGGTAGTTTTCAAAACAGGAGGTTCAGAGCGGATAAAAATAATTGTTACTGATGATTCGATTGACTCGGAACTTTTTGTTGATTCTTGAATAGAAAATTTTACTGTTCTAGTTTGAAGATATTTGTTAGTTTTTTGCTTTTGTGACCTGCGTACGTGAATGCTGTCCAACGTTGTGTTACTTCACCTATCGGAGTGGTTTAATTCTTGTTCTGTATTTTTTCTATGATTCTGTTTTCTAATTTATCTATTGTCTTTTGGGTGTATCCGTTCTCGTTCGATATTTGGTATATGATTTTCCATTCTTTGTTCCGGGCTTCATTGCTAAGTGGTATCCTTAACATTCTGTATGAGAATGCGTTATAGGCAGCCATTTTGTGTGATGATGGATGGTTTGAACTTGCTGGTATGGTGGAGCTTGTTTGTGTCGGTTTTCTGTATATAGGGGAGACTGGGGACACTTGATCCCCATTTTTATGTTTTATCCACATTAAAGTCTGAGATAATGTTTTTCAGAATATTTTTTGGTGACAACCAAGAAAAAATATTCACCTAACTNTGGACGACAACTTTCATCAAGTTTTGAATTTGTTATTACTCTTATTGCCCTTTTTTGCATTATGAGAATTTTATCAACATGTGCCGATCCACCCCATAAGAGAATTCCGTAGGACATGGTACTGTGAAAGAGACCGTGGTAGGCTGTGAGAACAACACTTTCATTTACAATATCTTTGATATTTCTTAAGAGATAGATGGAGGTAGCTAATTTATTTCTCAGATTGGTTATGTGAGCCTCCCATGTCAGCTTACAATCTAATGTTAGTCCCAGGCATTTTACCGGCAAATTGTCCTCCAGGGTTAAGTTGTAATTCAGAGTAAAGAGTAACGTTTTTGTTTTATCATTATTTAGACACAATCTTACATTCGTGAAATATTCCTGAGCACTTTTGAGGGTGTATGATTCAATATTCTGATCATAGTTTCTCATTGAAACTAGTAATGTGGTATCATTTATTGCAATTCATACAAATTATCGATTTCAAATAGTACAAATTACAGGTAGTTTTCAAAACAGAAGATTCAGAGCGGATAAAAAAATTGTTACTGATGATTCGACTGACTCGGAACTTTTTGTTGATTCTGGAATAGAAAATTTGACTGTTCTAGTTTGAAGATTTTGTTAGTTTTTTGCTTTGGTGTCCTACGTACGTAGATGCTGTCCATCGTAGTGTTGTTTTATCTATCTGAGTGGTTTGATCCTTGTTCTGTATTTTTTGTTTGATTCTGTTTTCTAATTTATCTATTGTCTTTTGGGTGTATCCGTTCTTGTTCGATATTTGGTTTATGATTTTCCATTCTTTGTACCGGGCTTCATTGCTAAGTAGTATCCTCAACATTCTGTATAGGCAGCCATGGTGGATGGTTTGAACTTGCGGGTATGGTGGAACTTGTTTGTGTCGGTTTCCTGTATACCGGGTGTCCCACATTTCATGTGACAGGCAATATCTGGTTTGTTGAAGGAGATACACAAAAATGTTTCATGCAAAAGTTTTAGGAGTTCATGAGAGCTATATTTTGATATAATTTTTAAATATACAGGGTGTTTGGTGTAGGTGCTACAGACCAAAATTCCATTTTTTAAAATAGAACGCCCTGTATATCATTACATATTCAGATGCTACGTTAAATTCTGATATCATTTCATGTTTGGTTTTTGAAATTCGGTTACGGCGTTGTTGAGTTATTGC